GAAAGTGTCAAATAATTTTGCAAGACTTGTTATAAAGGCAGCTGGGTCTCCTACCTGTTCCTCCTGACCATGTCAAACTCTCTGGCAATGACCACATTGAGTTTTGTTAGCCTTGATATCAATATCCACAAACTTACATAAGGTGCTTACATTGCTACTCCTTGACTGCTCAACTTTCTAACGATTTTTCACAATGAACAATAAGAATTTAGCTTTCACATATCTCCTTTAAAATATGTTTAGGCCCTCCCTGGTGGCACAATGGTGGGACACAGCCCTGCAAGCTAGCCACAGCCACTTTATTGTGAGTTCGATCCCCGGCCCTGGAGGTGACCCCACATGGTGCACCTGTCTCTCCCGCTGCTCCCTTCAGCAGTGTACTTCATTGATCTATTCTGCTCCCCACTTTGTCTCTGGTGAAGACTCTCACCACCCCTGCACCTCTGACCTATGTCCCAGTTCTGTACACATAAATAAATAAATCTTTAAAAAAATAAAATATGCTTTATCGTGAAGTATTTCACATATACCTACAAGTGCCTGTATAAAATTTCCATGGCCTGTTAAAAAGAAAAAGAGTCTTTTATCCACTATTCAATTTAAGAACAGGAACCTAACATGACTTGAGAAGCCTACAGTATACCACTCCATTGTTTACCCTTCCCTCCCCCTGAAGAAAACGAATCCTTTGACCAGTCTCCTTCCTTTACCTTATAGTTATAGGTTCTGTTCATATTCAACAATCTATGGTTTAGTCTTTTTTACCTGCTTGTGAGTGTATCTAAGTGTAAATATAGGATGTACATTCTAATTTTGTTGCTTTCACTCCACATTTAGGGTTTTGAGTTTCAGCCAATTGGGTGCTCACAGCTGAGGCTGATTCGGTGTCTGTGCTCTGCTCTACCCCACCACAGGCCTGCATCTCTAAGTGTCCAGCGTGTACACATATCTTGGTGCGCATGTGCAAGATTTCTCCACGCCATATAGCTGAAGATGAACTTGTCAAGGTGTAGTGTAGCAGTACTTCCACAGCTCTACTAGATAACAAGTCTTTCCCAGATAATTCTGGGGAGAATGGATAATTTCACAACATTGAGTCTTCTTACCTAAGACTATATTATGTCTTTAGATTTATTTAGAATGTCATCATTTTTCAGTCAAGTTATATAATTATCTCCAGGGGGCTTTGCACATATTTGTTAGAATTTATTCTCAAATACTTTCATATCTTAAATATTCTTGGGAAATTCAAAGTAGTATCATTACATAGTGGCCTTCTTATTTATGATAATACTTCTTTTCTTGAATTTTATTTTATATTAATAAAGCTAAGGATGTTTTCTTTTGGTTAGCATTTACCTAGAATATTTCCCCTAACTTTGACTTTGTTTCTCTTTGCTTTTTTTTTTTTTAAAGATTTATTTATTTGTGCATACAGAACTGGGGTACAGGCCAGAGGCTCAGGGGCGGCGAGAGGCTTCACCAGAGACAGAGTGGGGAGCAGAACAGGCAGATCGACAAAGTACACAGCTGAGGGGAGCAGCAGGCAGGTCAGGAGAGGTCTGCCACGCCATGTGGTCGCCTCTGGGGCAGGCAGGGGTCGAACTCATGCGGAAGTGGCTTTAGATTCTTAGTGCAGTGCTTTAACCAGCTGCGCCACCAGGGAGGGCCTGTTTCTTTTTGCTTTTAATGCGTTAAGCCTGTCTCTTGTGACTACGTCTAGCTAGATTTAAAATAATTTTTTGATTTAAATAATTTTTGGCTGTTACTGGTGGGTTAAACACATTCACATTTAGTACAATTGAAGATACGTTTATGTACGTTTTTGTGTCCTTGCTATTTGTCCCACTTGAACATTTCCCTTATTTTACCTTCCCTTCTCATCTTCTTTTGGTTCATTTCTCCCTCTGTTTCTCATTTCATCTTTACTTTTTCTACCTTTGGACATTATATGCTCCATGTCTCATCTTTTAATTGTTACTCCAGTAACTGGAACATGAAGACTCAAAAAGTGTAAAAAAAATAGAAATGTCCACCCATTCTCCCAACTTTAAGCCACAAACTCTGATTATCCACTCTCAAACAATGTGCTATTATTGTCCAGAGTTGTCTTGGTACTAGGTGATCTGGGGAAAAATATCTCCTGAGAGTCCATGACCCCAAGTAAGCCCCCACATGATTTGGTGGTCTATATTTATGCTAACTATGCAGTCAAAAAACTCCAACACCACCAACAAAATCTCATGTCAATAACCTAATGTAAAGACAGTCTTCGGAACAACTAGGGATAAGAAAAGATCACCTACAAAGAATAATTAATAGATCTCTCAATTGCCTTTTAATAGCAAAAATTGAAGCCAGAAGACTGTGGGGGTAATGTTTTCAATGTGTTGACAAAAACAAAGATCAACTTATAATTTATACCCAGTAAACTCCTTCAAGAATGAAAGTAATATAATAATATCCTTTCAAGTAAACAGAGATAGACAAGTATCCTAAAGGAAAGTTTTAAAAGCTAGGCTTCAAACAGAAGGAAAATGGTCCTAGATAAGAGAATATTCTCTGAAAAGATCAGACATTTAGGGTTCAGAAAACTCTGAGGGAGAAATTCTGCTTACCTCTTATCTGGCTTTGACTTTTTTTTTTTTTTTTTGATTTATAGACTCTTTCATTCCATTCGAGTGATGCCTTAAACAAGGGGTTATTCAAAATACTTATCAGCATTATTTTCTATATATTTCAGTTGAACAGGATTGGTTACTCTAGTCTACCCATGTACAGAACATAAAAGTTCCCCAACAAAACCTCCCTGCCCCTTCGGGCTCCATGAGGTTCATTTCACCTATGCCCAAGATACCTTTTACCTTTCTGCTATTGCAGCTATATTTTTACATTTACATATATATTTCGATATATGTAACTAAGTAGAATGTCTGCTTAAATACGACTCAAAACCTAAGGGCCAGGCCTCTATTGCCCACTGTTTTATTCATGTACAGTGCAAATAGCTGGCACATAGTAGGCATTCAATAGATATCTATTGAGTAAATCATTAGGTGAGACATCGATACTACTTAGAAGTCAGCACAGCGTTGTCACCACTTCTTGGGCAGCCACAGGAATTGGCCAGTCCTGGGAATTCCCACAGAACTGTGCCTTCAACTGTAGTAGCTGCTACACACTTGCGGTTACTTGAACTATTCAAAGGAATTTAAATTAAATGAATTGAAAACTCAATTCCTCCCTCACACTAGCCATGTTTCAGGTAGCTAGGGCTCTCCCATTGGCCCCTGTGGACATGGAACGTTTCCATTATCACAGAAAGTTCTATTGACAGTGCTGCCATAGAATGCTTGAGATTTCTTTACTGCACCTCTCTCTCTTGCTCTGGCTCTGGCGCTTTCTCTCTTCTCACTTCTAAACCAAATAGAAGGATAGCGGTCTTTTTCTGAGGGACTTAAAATGATGTTTTTGAACAAGAAGATGCTGGGTTCTTTTGGTGACTAACACCATTCCCACTTTTTTCTTTTAAATTCCTGAGCTATTGTTTACTGGTCCGTTCTTTTATTTCTATTTCCACTAAAGCTGAACGTTACTTGGGTAGAAAGCCTGATTGCTTTCTTTTCTAGGTCCTTAAGCTCTTTGCTGATGTTACTGTCTGAGAACCCCCAAAGCCAGGCTTCAGGGAGAGATTGGCATGTCTGAACAGCTGAACCACGAAATAATGGAGTAGGTCTGGCGGGTGTGGGGCAGGGCACTCTGTCAATGAAAGAGCTCCCCTCTCTGCACACACGGCTAGCTAATTGGCCATTCTGGGAAAGTATGGATGGGAGGGGGCTGTTGAGAATCTCCAGTGACAGTTAAGTGGCCTTTTGTGGACGTCCTCTGCTGAACAACTTTGTTGGATTTTCTGTTAGATTCATCATTTCTCATTCAGGCATCATCTTTTGCTTTCTCCTTGCAATATGACCGCTTTATGTGCTGGCCTCTGCTTTATTCCCCCTCTTCCTAGACCATGAAGAGGGCTGTGTGGGGCTTTCAGGCTGGAGAAATTGACTCTGCTATCTGTGGAGAACAATCATAATGACCGAAGTGACCTTCACGTCTAGCAGGAAAGGACCACCTATGCCAGCATTATGGTGACCGCCTGAAGACAGACAAAAGGGAATCTTCACTGAATTCCTTCTCAGACAGTATCTACTTCCTTTGTTCTGCTCTCCATTCTCTTCTCTTGCCCTTCTCCCCATGGCAACTGCAGTACTGACCCAAGCTGCGGCTGTGACTCAGACTTAATGCTTCTGAAATAATAATACGTTACATTTTTTCAGGCTTTGCTAAGCCAATTCACCCAAGCTGTCTCATCTAATAGCCCCCCAAAACCCTGTGAGGTAGGGAGGAGAGGGATTATTAATCCCATTTGACTGATGAGTAGACTGAGATTTAGGGGTATCAGGTTAATTGCCCCAGATCCTTTAGACAGGAAGTGAGCTCCTGCTCCGCTGTGTCTCAGCCCAGCTTTCTTTCAGTGATGTCTACATCCTGTGTGCCCAGAGGCCCAGGGAGATTGTGAGGGGGTGGGGAGGGAGAAGGAGAGCAGAGGAGAAGATAAATGAGGAGGGAGGGAAGAGTGGTTTCTGTGGGCCTCTAGCATCTCTCATCTTTCTCCAGAGAAGGGAGGTTTGAGGATCTCAAGAGGCTGGCCCAGCAACCATCAGGGAGACAAAAAAAAGTGAAGGGAAGAAGTCAAGTCTTCCTCTCTCTTTCCTTCTTCCCTGACCCCCTTGACACGGGAGGATTCACCTGGAAGCAGGGAGGGGCAGCCCCAGCTCTCTGAGGCTTGGTGTGTGGGAGCCACACACGGGGTCCTTCATCCCTCCCCTGTGGAGTCTAATACCCGTTGTTGGGCCGGGCTTGCTGGCTTTCAGGTGCTGTGCTGTCCCGAGGTCTGGGCCATGGCTGTGTGCCAGGAAAGCCCCTGAAGCTCGCCTGGAGGAGGAAGCATGCAGGGCAGCGCTGGACCAGGCCTGGGGCCTGGCCTGGCCCCTCTGAGCAGGCAGACCCTCCTGGTCTGTAGCTTTCTCCTGGCAGCAGCCTGGGGCCAGATGAACTTCACAGGGTGAGTGGCTGCTCCATAGCAGGAGGTGGGGGGGAGGGCACCAGGTAGCCCACGGGAAATGGCTGTCCTGCTGGGCCCAAGCAGGGTGGCTCGGGGAGGCAGGACTGAAGTCACTTCGGGTTCAGAATCTCACCCACATGCTAATGGACAGGACAATCACCAAGGCTCTGGTCCCTAAATCCAGAGTTCCCCATCTAGGGGTCTCTGGTGAAGGCTCCGGGGTTCCAAGATTCTCCCAGAACCATATGTAAAATTTTTGTTCATAGCGTTCCTCAGATTCTTCAAAAAGTTAGTCCCAGAAGGACTAAACCCACACGGGCAGATGTGATATTGTCCTCCAAGTACAACAGGTGCCAGGACCTACCCCAGGCATCTATGGACGTGATTTCTCAGCCCCCTCGAGAGCTTGGCAGCAGCTACACCTTACGCCACCTTAGGCTCAGAGAGGGGGTTCGTTGTCACTGGTCGCAGCCAGCTAGAAAACGGGCCAATGCCAGGCATCGGATCCCAGAGGTCACCCCACAACTCGCTCACTTATACTAGGGCAGGAGACTCTCAGCCTCCCCTCCCGTCCCCCCAACCCTGCATAATCCACAGGGAAGCTCATCCTTTTTCCATGTCCTTAGGCTCTTAAAAGGAAGTAGGAGGGGGCGTGGGGTTCAGACAAACCATGGCCTTGGGTCATTTTGGGAAGACCATTTTGGGGTTTCCTGTATCTAGTTCTTTCTCCCTTTTATCTTTTGTTCCCCACCTTCCTCCACCCCTGACTTTCCCTTCTCATCTTTCTTTCTCTGTCTTGGTGGACTGTGCAGTAACAATGCCAGGCTTCCTCGCGGCCCTGGTGGCCTGCCGGGCTGGAGAGAACTTGTGTGCTTTACTGAGCAGCAAGTCCTTCTTCGCGGAGGCTCTTCTGCCTCCTGGTGACAGGTGCCTCCCCGCCTCCATGCCAGGTTCCCCAGCCTGGCCCCTTCTCCCTTCGCCTCCTCCAGGCAGAGGCTGTTCCAGGAAGCCCTTACTACAGCTCTCCCGCTCTCCCATGTCTTTCCAGAGACCAGGTTCTCCGAGTCCTGGCTAAAAATGAGAAGCAGCTTTCACTTCTCAGGGACCTGGAGGGCCTGAAACCCCAGAAGGTGAGGAGTCCCCAAAACTGTGCATGTTCTCCCCTTCCTCACAGAAGCTTGCATGTTTGGTTCCCTGTCATGCTCCCCGCAACCTGCCAAAGAGCTTCCAACCCTGTGGAAAAATCACATTTGGCTCCTCTTCGGAAGAGGCTAGACCGCCCTTCCTGGCTTCCCCCTCTCTTCTGGATTGGGGGCTGCTAAGTAGGCCCTGTAACAGGGCTGAGCGGGGGGCTCTGGAAACAGCTGGAACACCCTAACGCCTCATGGGAGGTGCACGTCTCTGGGTGGGATGCCCTGCAGCACGCAGCCAGGACGCATCTGCTTCCCAATTGAACTCGCTTAGCTTGGCAAACCTGTGTTTTATTTGGGCTCATCCCTGTCAGCCTGAGCATTTGCTTCCAAGAACATTTGTCCTCTGCAAGTATTCCACAATGGAAACATTTTCTTCAACTACTATAATAGAAGGGTTTTGTTTGAGGGCTGTTGAAACACCCGCTATTTCTGGCCATGACCCAAAGCCCAGCTTCCTGCATGCCCGACCTGCCAAGACCCACAACACTCCATCATAATTCCCCCATGTTGCAAATTGAGAAATAGACAGCATTTGGATGATTTGGGGGTCCAGATGGGGCCTCTCCGGCTTCTCCTGGGCTTGGGAGTTAGCGATGTCTCCCTCTTCTGACCAGGGTTCTTGTCCGAATACATGTCCCAGATTATGTTTAGATTCTTTGGAACCTGGCAAAGTTACAATGTGGAGTGAGGCTGGGAGATGAAGGCACTTCAAAATAGGGGAAGAAACTCAGTGACATGGGGAATCTTGTATCCTGGTATTTTTACTTGGCTGCAGGGTTTGAATTAAGGAGCTGGGGCCCCTTGGGCCCTCTTCATGGTATAAGAGAAGACCGCCTGGCTCTCCAAGTGGCCTGCGGGACTGTGTGTAAGCACAGGGGATACACGCACCCACTTTTCTTTCTCTGTGGACAAGGTGGACTTCTGGCGTGGTCCGGCCAGGCCCAGCCTCCCTGTGGATATGAGAGTATCGTTCTCGGCCCTGAAAGATGTCAAAGACTATCTGGATTCTCACGGCCTTGCTTACAGCATCATGATAAAGGACATCCAGGTGAGGTCCCACTCTGCTGTGGGTCTCCCCTTCTGTACTCCTTTCTGGCTTGGGCCCACACACCCAGGCCCACACACCCAGGCCTAAACACGGACGTCCTGTCTCCAAATTCCCATGACATCTTTGTGAACCTGTCGTGGGACAAATGAAACCTCATACTTCTCAAAGAAATGTCAACATGGGACTGAATTGGGGCAGGTCTCACCGTGTGGTAATGGCAGGGTGGCTGTGGGCACTCCTCTTAGGTAGGAGGAAGGAGGGAGGCAAAGGGGAAGAGCAGGCTGGACGGCTGCCCCTGCTTTCCTGGCAGCTCCCCTGGTCCGTCTCAGCCAGCTGGTACCAGGGCATGGGAGCACGACCTGGCCACTTCACCACCTCTGCCTCCAGGTTCTCCAAACTATAGACTTCTCCCAGCCGGGAGCCCCCCGAGGGACCTCTCAGGGGGTGGCGGCTGCAACCCCACCCCTGGTAGGTTGAGGAGAACTTTCATCCTGAGCACCCCAGTCTTCCTCCCCACCTTCTGAGGGGCATGGGATTCTAGTTCAATTGTTCTGCCTGCGAGGATATCCCAAGGGGCCTCCTTCCTAAATGATTCTTTGGGGGTACCGCTCAGCGGTTCGGCTCGGTCCGGGCCCCCGGGCAGGTGCTGTTGAGCACCGTGTACCTGCAGAACTTACAGAACAGACTGAATCCCACCCATGGCATGTTGCAGCTAATCTCCAAGTGTGGGAACACAGACTCCTGGCGTGCACACTTGATGCCGTGTCAAGGGGCGGACGTTTCATGGAGCATTCCTTTCCCATACACACAGGGCTGGCGCGCTTAGGTCCATTCAAAGATCCTTCTCGCGCACCAGGCACATCTGTTTCTCACTCAACTTGTCAGGGTGGGCTATTTCTCTCATTAAATCCCCCACAAACAAAAATGGGGCAATTCCCACAGACAAGAGAGGCCACCACATCAAAAGGACTAGAACTCCATTCTCAGCTTTAGCCTCTGCCTGCAGTTTGAAGTTTGCCTTTCCCTGCTCCTGCCCCACCCTGGAAAGCCTGCAGCATTTGGCAAACAGACACGAAGAGGTCTCTGAGAGTCTTCTGTTGATTTCTGCACATCAGGGCTCCCAAGGCCCCTTTGAGTCTCCCTCATGGGGAGCTGGTCATGTGCATTCTCCTCAGCCTGTGTGTCCTGTTGCTCCCAGCCATGGAATTCGGGGAGAGCAAGGAGGTGGGGAGAGCTTTGCACCCCCTCTCTGTAAAATGTCCAGGCAGGCCTTTCACCAACGGCACAGGCTGTCTGCTGTGCATGGAGCTCTGACTGTCATCCTTGAGATCACATTTTGGCTTTGAGAGAACTGAGGTGTGGGGAGGCTGCTGTGTGGAGCTAATCTGTGGTGATGATGGGGAAGGTGTCCAGGGGAGGAAAACACAGAGGTGCTAACAGGAGGGAAGGGCTTTGGCCCCTCAGGGTGCTGCCTCTGGTCTTATGATTCAGTTACTAATTGCCTCCCGGGGCTGGTTTCTCCCTGTCTCTGTGCCTCCTCAGACCAGCATTTGGCTTGGTGTCTGCTCCATGGTGCACTCTTAATTGCTGTCTGCTGAGTGACTGTCCCCCTTAGTAGGAACAGGAAGTGCTCACCTAGAGAGAACTCATCACCACAGGTCTTTGTCTCCAGAGCCCAACGCCCCTCGGTTGGCCCAGGATGGTGCTCATTATTTCTCCTCACACCCCAACACCTACCATAGGATCTGCCACTTCTTGGGACTTAATGGCTGTTGGCTGAATGGGTGTGAGAAGGCAAGGAGCGGGAACAGGATGTGTGCTTGCTGGGACCAGGCTGAGAGCCAGCGCGAACACCTTATAGCTCCTTTTCACTTTTGCCAGAGGCACCAGGGCAATTTTGAGGCTGCCCAACCCCCTTGGTCTCCATCAGATAGGGATGCTTGAGATAAAAAAAAAAAAATGTGGGTTTGTTCATTCTGTCCATAGAAACGGATACCTACTATGTGCTGGGTATTGGGCAAGGGGCTGGAAGGATCAAGATAAGCGATCTATCCCTGCGTCTAGGGGAGCAGCGGGGTGTGGGGGGGCTGGGAGAGTAGAGAGGAGTAAATCAGTGATGACAATGGAGTGGATGAGCGCTGATGGAGTGGAGCAGGTTGCTATGGGAGCAAGTGCAAGAGGCACTGTGTGGCTCTGGGAGGCGGTAATTGCCAGCGCTGGCTAAGAGCTGGCTGGGGGTGGCTGGGGGGAAAGGGGGCCCCCTGCCATTGGTGATAAGGCTAGCCCAGATCACAAAGGGCATCCTCCACCCGGTGAAGAGGTTGAGGTTCTGTCCCCCAAACTATGGGGGAGCCATCAGAAGACTCTGATTTGGTCAGATTTGCATTTAAGAAAAACCCTTCTGACAGTGACAATGTTGAGTGGGGACAGGAGCCGGGAGAGGCTGACAGGCAGGAGGGTGCTGAGGAAATTGCAGTGGGCCAGGCAAGAAATTATCAGATTCTGAGTGAGCTCTATTTGCATTTAATTTTTCTTCACCTCCTCATTTTTGTGTTTTTTTTTTTTTTTCTAGTCCTTTAGTATTTTTTTTTTTTTCCCTAGGATGAGTCGCCATGGAAAAGCTTCACTTGAGCAATCAGCTCTGTGGATTTTAATGGCTTTTTTCTGATTACAAAATTAATAAATATTCATGTTAGGTAATTTGGAAAATAGGGAAAAGCACAAAGAAGAAAACAAAAATCACCCATGCTCTGACCATCTAGGGCAAAATACAATTTCGCATCAATATCGCTTTGCCAATTTTCCCTTCTCTACTGGATCATTCCCATTAGCAAACCAATACAAAGTTATTTCTCTCAACTTAAAAAATTCCCCTCTCTACCCTCCTCCCTCCCGCTGCTCCCCCAGCATCTCCCCTTTTTCTCCTTCCTCTAGAGTAAAACGGGAGATACAAACTATACTTACCACCTCTGTCCTGTGCTCAGGCTCGAGGAAACACTGTCCCCTGACAATGTCACACACAGCTGCTAGGTCCAGTCTAACTGTTCATTGTTGTCACCTTAGCGCAACTGGAATCTGCTCCTTGAATAAGTCTCTTCCTTTGGCTTCCAGGACTCCAAACGGACTTAACTGGTTGTTCCTCTGTTTGCCTTCCTGAGCCTGCTCTGTTCCTTGGACTTTTCTCCTGTCCCCTCCTCATAATCATGGTGGTGGATACCTTCTAATTCCTGAGTGTTCGCATCCTTACAGCTCCAGCCAACCCCTCTCTCCTGGACTCCAGACTCAGAGAGCCAACCACCTACGTAACATGTCCTCTTGGGTGTCTCCTGGCCCCTCATCCTGCCTCTCCACTGCCTTCCCCATTGCAAGAAATACCAATTCCACCCTTTGGGTCACCAGATGAGAAAGTTGGAGTCATCCTTGACTCCTTTCTTAAATCTTACACCAACCCACCAGCAAAAAGCATCAGCTCTCCCTTCACTTACATTTTCTCACTACCTTGACTATCACCCCGGCCAACACACCATCAAACCTTGCAGGGATTATTCCAGTGGGTCTCGGAACACTCTCCCTGGGGCCACACTTGCTTTCTTATTGCCAGAGGAGCCCTTTGGAAGAAGTGTGTCCCATGACATTACTCTCCTTAAAGCCCTCCACCACTTCTCCATTCACCCAGAATAAAAGTGAAAGTCATTAAAATGCTTCTAAATTTCTCTCTGCCCTACACCTCTCCCCCATCACCGACTATCCTCTCTTGATCACTGTTCCACATACCTAGACACTCCTCACACTGACCCATTTCTACCTCAGGGTCCTTGACTAGATTCATACCTCAGGGCCTTTGCGCCTGCTGGTCCTCATAGCTGGAGTGTCTTTCCAAAGATACCTGTATGGTTTTTTCACTGGTTGCTTTTAAAACCTTATTCATATGTCGCTTTTTTACTTTATTTTAAATTGCATCCTTCTCTCCTTCCTCCACCCTTCTTTCTCCACTGCTTCACATTCTGCTTTGGTACTTGCCACTTTCTATATGCTGTGTAATTTACTCAGTACTTATCACTGAAAGGTTCGGGGCAGTGAGGAGGACACAAAGAGACAGCGAGGCCAGCAAAACCAAAAAAAGGTTTATTTCTGTGCGCTCAGGTGACGTTCACTGACCCCAGAGAGGGTTGAGGTCAGAGATGTCATGCTGAGGGAAGGGTAAGAGGGATTTTTATAGACCTCGGTAGCGGGGAGAAACAGCCAGGTGGAAAATTTTGACAAGGAACTGGAATTATTTCTCTGCCTGGGGTTGTGGTAACTGGTGGTGACAAACAAGTCACGAGGTTTTGGCTCCCAAATTCCTGCTTCTACTTGGGGCTACAGCTCCTTCCATATGCCTGTGTTTAGCTGGTGCCTGACCCTTACAACCACCTCATTATCTGTCTCCACCGCCAAGCTCCATGAGGGCAGGCAGTTATATTTTATTTTGTTGGACACCATCTCTTTCCCTCCCCCCAGGGAGTCACTCCAACCGCCCCCCACCCCCACTACAACAAAATGTCCTTGACATTTCATATATAGCTCCCAGGTGTTCAACAAACACTAGTTTGCTGAACAGAAGAAATTAAACAAGTGGACCTGCTGTTTTCTGGGCTGGGGGCAGCTGTGAAGAGGAGGAAGGCAGATAGGGGGGAAGCAGAAGGAGGCAAGGGAAGGAAGGGGCAACTGTGAGGAAGAACCCCCTGGGGGCTGAGTCTGTCTGGCTGAACCAAGAGGACAGGGAGAGGAAAATGATGCTCTGTGGGGAGGAGCAGGCCCGACATGACCCGCCCTGGGGTCTTGCCTCCCAGCACCACCTTCCCGCTGGAGAAAGCCAGGTTTCTTGGTCACGCCTTGTGATGATTGCTCTACCAGAGTCCTGGACTCACCCCTACCCCGTCTCCCCAACTGCCATCATGTCAGTGGCATCTTCATCGTTATCAGCGTGGCTGGCAATGGTCTAAGCATTTTACGAGTACTAATCCTTTTCAGCTCTCACACAAACACATTAAAATATGTACTAAAGTATGTGAGAACATGACCCCATTATATGAGGGGAAACTGAGGCACAGAGAAATTAGTCATGTGTCCAAGGTACTGACCGCCTGAGGATTTAATCTGAAACAGCCTGGCTCTCTGATCCTATGCCATCTGCCTTCTGGGTGGTCAACACTGCTGTCTGTGTTATGTTTTAACTGCCTTCTGGGCAGTGAATACACCATTCAGCCTGGACTTCAAAGTTGGGGGGTTCATTCTAACAACAGGAATCTGCTGTCACCCTCAAAAATGCTTGGGTTTTAGTTGCCACCAGCCATGGGCTGTTACTACAAATGTTAAGCCTGAGCGGTAAGGCCAGGGGCCTACCCAGAGAGGTGACTGCCCGTCAGGGAGTGGGGGAAGGGCCGCGCCGTGTTAGTGAGCGGCAGCCATTTTATCACTGTGCTGGGAGTTCAGACCTCAACTTCCTCCTCCTCAGGGTCCTTCGTCTCTCCCCCACTAGGGAAGTGCTGATCTTTGTTTAATGTCCCCCAGCCTTCCTCATCCCTGTCATAAATTAATTCACACCAAGGTATTACTTTCTCTGTCAGGTTATGGCTTCCAGGGAAGCAAATGGCTTACTTCTGAGGTTTTTTTCTTCTTTCTGAGCAGCCTGACAGGACTGTAATTAGGTATTCCTGAGCCCGTGGCAAGAGGCATTCTCAGTTCTCCCATCCCCTTCCCTCAGCCCTGTGAAGGGAGCAAACATCTGTGTATGTTGCAGGCCAGGATAGATTAATATTCCTGGAATTGGGGGCCAGCTGTGAGGGCTGAGATTCCCAGTTTGTAAGCAGGCGTCATACCCATTCACAAGGTGGCTAGGGTGTTTGGAAAGTTATTTGCAGTTTGGTGCGGACTCCCATTTACCTCCAAGCTGTTCTGGGGAACAAAGGACAACCCCTCCATGAGAGCTGTCTTCCTGTGGGTGTCCCTGGGCTGTGAGGGGAAGAAGGGGGGTTTCTGGCCCTTTCTTCCCGTTTCTTCCCTGTCCTGCACACTCACAGGCTGCTCCACATCCCCGCTACAGTCCTTAGGAGACAGGACAGATGAACCCTATGTCTGCATCACAGTGGGGACAGAGCGGGTGCCCTGCCCCTGACTGGGGTGGCCTCGCCTGGCGTGCTGCCCCTCTGCAGCTGCTCTCCACAGCTGGTAGTGGGCCACAGTGCTGGGCCCACATTGGTCATGTTGAGAGTCCCCTGGGTCTCCGTGGGAGAAGACAAATTCCCTTTGTTCCAGCTTCCCCCGGGGTGCTTGTGCCAGTGAAGCTGAGGGCTCCTCCACTATCTCTAACTTCACCAGCAATTCGGCTTTGCCCAAGTGCAATCATCCAGCCTCTCCACTTCAGCCGCAAACACTGCAATTACAACTGCCTAGCGTGTAGGCAGTGCTAAGGAAACGAGCCTTACACATTGATTTCCAGTCCCATTTTAAAATCTATAAACCAGAGGACTGTGAGCCAGCTGAGGGGGCGGGGTGTGAGGGCTGTGCGGCAGGGCTACGTCTCCTGTGTGTCTGTGTGGCGCGTGTGTGGTTTGTACAGGTGTGTGGTACGTAGTGTGTGTCTTGTGTATGTGTGTCGTGCATGTGGGGTGTGGTGTAGGTTGTGTGTAGTGTGTTGTGCGTGCATGTATGTGGGTATGTGGTGTGTGTGGTTTGTGTGTTGCGTGTGTGGTTTGTATGTGTGTGGTATGTGCATGTGTTGTGTGTGTGCGTGTGTTGTGTGTGTGTGGGTATATGTGTGTGTTGTGTGTGTGTGTTGTATATGTGTTGTGTGTTGTGTATGTGTGGTTTGTGTGTGTGTGTGTAGGGGGAGGTGGTCTCTTCCAAGCTCGATGGCTACAACTGCTTTTCAGCCACTAGAGCTTTTTGCTTTAGTTTTAGTCATTTAAAAGATTCATTGAAAAGATCTTACTCACTGAAGTAGTATAAACACATTGCCAAAACATGAAAATTGAGAAAAGAAATTGCTTAATTATAATCCTTCTATCCTAACAGGCATTTTGGCATAATTTTTGGGTATTGTAGACTTGTTTTTCTATGCTCTGGGTGCAGCTTTTTCATTATTTTAAAGTAGTTTTCAATTGCAAGTCTTCTATGATGGACTTTTCAGCTGTTGATGACATTTTGCACACCATTCTCCACACACACACACACACACACACACACACACACACACACGGTTGCACATACCTCTGCGTGTGCATGTTGTTGTTAGCCTTTAATTCTGATAGCTAACTCACTAAGGAACCAAGGCAAGGAGCTAGGGTATCTGGTTTTTAGCTTACCTTTGCCTTTGGTTAGCTTTGCCATTAAATCTCTTTACCTCTCCAATTTGCTTTATCTCTCAGACATGCATTGTTCATTCTTGCTCTGTCATCTGGTCATCTGGCCAGATCAACTGAGACAATGAGGATAAGACTCCTGTAAACGGATAGAGTCTGGCCTAAATCAGATGTCATCAAGACTTAACTTGTGACCCAGAGTTGTAAACCAGGGTGACTCTGGGTCGAGGCCTGGCTTTCGCAGTCCCATTGTGCAGAGGGCCCAGGAAACTTCCACACTGGACACTCAGCACTTTTTCCTGGATGCCTTTGCTCTTGGGGGCCTGTGTATAGCATGAGCTTGTGAAGAGGGCGCCTGCCCCACTTGGCTCTGTCAAGTTGGGAAACGTGTCTTAGGATGATCAGCCCTGGGATGTGTGGATGTTGATCCAATCCACTGTGCTGCCCTCGCCAAGGTCAGTGGCATGCACCCCATGAGACTGAGTGCCAACTCCAGGCTGGTACTCAAGGACATGGCTTTTGGCTCACCTCTACTCTGCAGTTAACATGGTGAGTGAACTGTTGGCACATTAATCACAGTGATTTGGACTGACTTTGTCCACACCTGGCTTTCCAGATGGCTTGGCTGCCAAGCATCTAGGCTCTAGCTGGGGGTAAAGTTGATGTTGGGGGTCAGTGCACACGGTTCAGTGTGGGCCTAGGCTACACTGATAGTTCACAGAAGGCAAAAGCAAGATTGGTGGCAGCCCACAAGCATCTTTCACAGAACACTTTCACATCCATCATTGCATTTTATTCTATCCGTTGGCAAGACAGAGATACTTGTTCCAGTTTTCAAGCTGAGGAAACTAAAGCCAAGTTTCCACAGTAAGTTAGTGGAGGTGGCAGACACAGGACTCAGCTCTCCAGATGCCTGTGGAGTTGGTATTTCTTGCGATGGGGAAGGCAGTGGAGAAGCAGGTTGAGGGGCCAGTAGACACCCAAGAGCATGGATGCCAATGACAACTTGGGTTCTTCCCTGGCATGTGTGTTCATAGACCCACTCTCCTGGGTCTATGCTGCCTTTATGCACAGCTAGGTGAGTTTGGGCTCTGGAGAGTCCTGGCTGGCCCAGTCCTCCCCTTCCCTTCTGAAACATGCTCTTCTCTCCTAGGTGCTGCTGGATCAGGAGAGAGAGGCTATGGCCAAGTCCCGCCGGCTGGAACGCAGCGCTAGTAGCTTCAGTTACTCCTCTTACCATACCCTGGAAGAGGTAAGTCTGTCCAATTAAGCTCTGGGTCTTGCTGTCCCTCTGGGCCCTATGGACAGAGGCACTGAGGCAGAGACCTGTGAAGGAACATGGGTCGCTGAGGAGGCCGTGAGACACTTGGGCCATGCTGAACAGACACTCTCCTCAGGGTGAAGGCTTGTTAGGTAGACAGTTTCAAAGAGGTCCAAAAGCTGGGATCCTGAGAGAGGGCGCTGAGGGTCAAGGGTACAGCCCACAGGGGTATGGTGCCAGAGTTATGGGTTTACTAGGTGGAACCAAGGCAGGGCCCCCCATTGGCTGGACTGCCTTCCTATCTGACCCTGTGTCTTGGGACCCAGAGGTCTTGACCTCACCACAACCAGACCTGGTGTTAAGTGGTCAAGCTGTGGGTATTGAGGGTAGAGGGGCAGGAAGTCAGCACTCTGAGAGTCATTTTGTAGTATAAAATAAAGATGGCTTCACTTGAAGAAAGTTCATGGTCATACTACAGCCAGCTGGGACAGGTGTGACTGATTATCACTTATTTATAAAGAATATGCGAGCAGAACATAGAGAGACCTAATACAGAAACTCAAGGCTCAGGGCCCATTTCCAAGTAAAGAATGTGACATTATTGATGCTATCCTCTCTATTATTGTCATCATCACTCTCCTCATTCCATGAGGCCGACAATATGCGGATTCATTTTCTTCCCTATATTTGTCAATTAAATTATGTGCATTGCATGAATAAGGGAGTGAATTAATATAGTCTGTCAATTTTTATTCATGTCAAAGATACATAACTCTTCCTTCAGAGGTCTCAGAATCTTAAAAAGGAAGAGAAGACCAAAACAGCACTATGAGACCTATGAGATCCGCCAAATGGGTAGAATGGGTTGAGAGAACACTTCCAACCCAGAGCAGCTTGCTGATTGATGCTGGGGGCTCAGCTTATGCTGTTCTCTCAGGCAAAGTCTTAGCCCCATGAGGTGCTGGGAAACCTGGGAATGCAGGCGGATCAGAGCTTGCTAACCTACGTCCTGATGGCATCTTTACTCTTGTAATTCTCTAGGTTCTTTTAGATTTTCAAGGGAGAGGAAGAGCATTCAGGAAATATTCAGGAGGATGGGAATTATTCTGAGAGGTCCTGGGGTTTGCCCCCTCCCTGCTTAAATACCTGTGTGATAAAATTCATTCCTTTCAGATATATAGCTGGATTGACAACTTTGTAACTGAGCATTCAGATATTGTCTCAAAAATTCGGATTGGCCACAGCTTTGAAAATCGCTCCATTCTTGTCCTGAAGGTAAACTGCCCTCTAGATGCTATAGTTAAAGAGTCTCTGGCCTAAGATTGAGCTCATGTGGAGTTGTGGCTGGATGGGAATTTTAGGGAGAGAGGTGTGTACACTCCTGTCCTGAGGTGCCCCATGAGCTTTGGAATTGTGCCCGGGGATCCATTCTTGCAGGTGACAGTGTGACCTGGCACGTCCTGGGTCAGGAAGTAGGGGGGAGGGTTGCTAAGGAGAGGGAACTGCAGAGTGACAGTCATCACCCTGGACTTGGGGTGTGAATGTGGGTGATTCAACATTCTTCCTGTTATCTTGATTGCTTCACCTGCTAGATGGGAAGAGGCGCCTACAGGCCTTGTCTGCTAAAGTCTGAGGTCATTCGGCCCAGGCAACCCCACAGATAGGCCTGGGTCTATGGAGACACCTCCCAGTTCTCCAGAGTGACCCCCAGAGATAGAGTTTGAGCAAAATTGGAAGTAGTAGTGCCCTTGGTGAAGGAGGAGGCAATATAGGTGAGAGTGTGGAATCACTCTTCTTGCTCCCCAAGAAAACACAGTTCTTTATATGTGCCGTCATGATCTTTAGGAGAGCTGTGTGCACTAGCCTGGCTATCCCTCTGTCGGGAGTTTAATGACGCCCTAAGGACCTTCTAAAGGGCGCAGATGTCTTGCCCGATTCAGGACCTGATCCCCAGGGACCACCCCTTATCTTTCCGTACTGTGGTCTAAGACCTCCTCGAGTGTGGTCCTTACACCGGCGGCTTCAGCATCCCTGGGAATTTGTTAGTGGGAGCTCAGACCTTCCAAATCCAAGTTTGCATTTTAGTGAGATGCCTGGAGATTGTGAGCCTTTTAGATCTGGGAAGCATCAATCTGACACACTCCCAAATCTGGCAAATTCTGTGCTTCTGATTGGATCACATTGCTCTCCAAGAGCACCCCGGGGTCAATACCAGGGCACCTGCTAAGGCACCTGCCCCTACCTGTCCTCTCTCAGCCACCTCGGGCCACCCCAGGCTGCGAGGACTCATCTGGGTCCTCTTTGGGGCCGCCTAGGGGCAGCCCTGTGATTGTCTTATTTCTAACTTCTGTTTGGGGCCTGGTGCTTTTTCCCAGTTCAGCACGGGAGGTTTTCAGCGCCCAGCCATCTGGATCGACACTGGAATTCACTCCCGGGAGTGGATCACCCACGCCACTGGCGTCTGGACTGCCAAGAAGGTCAGCGTGGATGATGGGGGCTGCAGCAGGGTGGGGCTTGCTCAACCATTTAAGGGCGCCTCCAGTAGAATCATTTTACTGAATTCACTTAAACTCTGCGTGCTCTCTCCCTCTTGCTCTTTGGAGAAGTTACCACATGTTCTAGTTCAGTGTCTATCTGCCCTGAGCCTTGCAGTCGCTAACACCTCCAGCTGTGGTCCTGTTGGAAGCTAGTGCCTGATGGCCCAATGACTACAACCTGTGCCCACGTCCCGCTGGGCCTCACCTGTACCCACTGCCCTTTCTTGCAGATTGTCAGTGAATACGGCAAAGACCACACACTGACCAAGATACTGAATTCCATGGACATTTTCATGGAGATCGTCTCCAACCCCGATGGGTTCGCTTTTACCCACAGCATGGTATGGGGCTCTGGGAGAGAGGGATCAGGTGGTCAGGGCCAGGGGTCAGCTCTGAGAGGTGGGGAAACGTCACTGTGCCTGGGGAACCTGGGCTGCGGTGTCCTGGGGGCTCTTTGGGGAGTCCTAGTAGGCCAGGTGGGCTGCCAGGTACTGCAACTCAACTTCTGCCCTCAGGTTCCCCCCCTGCTGCACAGGGAAGGCCACTGGGCAGCTTGTGCTCAGGCCTCTCCCCATGCTCTGACTTTAACGGCTGGGAGGTGATCCGCAGAATCAGCTCAGTCCTGTGCTGGCCCCATCCTGTCCTTGAGAAGCTTTCCTTTTGCCCCTCCCTGTCCTACCAGATCTCCCACCCCCTTCCTGGGGCAGGTTGACAGAGGCCCCAGTCCTGGCAATGGGCTCAGTGAATGAAGTCACATGCTCTGGGCTTTCTCAGAACCGCTTGTGGCGGAAGAACAAGTCTACAAGATCGGGGGTCTTCTGCATCGGTGTGGATCTTAACAGGAACTGGAAGTCAGGCTTTGGAGGTATGGCAAACCGCTGGGCCCGGGGGCAGGGCTGGAGAAGAACTTGATCTTTGGCACGTGTCCTATTCAGTCCATTTATGTTGACTCTTAAGTTGGGAGGCCACGTAGTTAGCTAATGTGAGTGAGTCATGGCCAGAGACAGGCGAGCACATGCCCAGGACTGGCTGAGCGCCATGGGAGACCGTGCATGTGTGTGTTAAATGTATACGGTATGCTAGACTTTTGTGGGAAACAGCTCCTTGCACGGGAACTGATGCAAATCGTTAATATGGCAAAGGGCGTAAGAAGGTACAAGGTAGTCTTGTTTTTTTCAAGTTCAGAGTTTTTGGTGGTCCCCAAATGTCCCTATCCCTTCTGTGAAGGGAACATACACAGTGCAAGAAGTTGCCTCTGAACTCATCCCTTGAGAGTTGTGATCTAATATTTGCCCTCTGGGGGAGCCAGAATGATAGCTCAAATAGACAATAAGCCAACCCTTCGCCATCAACACTGCCTTGAGCCTGCTGTTTCTTTCTGACCCAGTTCCTTGGGTCAAATCTGCAGGGCTGTGTATTTCCAGCCCTCCTGAATTCCTTGGTGGTCTTTCCTGGTAACCTCCCGCATCAGGCCAGGGGCACAGGGACTGGATGGGGAAACTGAGGCCTCCAGAAAACCCAGGCACAAGTATGTGGATTTTGGGAATGTGGCAATTGGGTGGTGTGCTGGGCTTTGCCAGGATAATCTCCAGAGCCAAGGATTCCAGGCACAGCCCTCAGCCCCCAGATGTGACCGCTACACTATACAGGGGAATTGGGGTTTGGCTTTGGGGAGGCGGTGCCATTGTTGTTGAAAAACAGGTGTATAGACAGGTAGCCCAGCAATGAGATAGAACATTCTACATCTGGATGGGTGCACATCACTTTGAAATATGACTTTTTGGGCTCTGTTCTCAATGAGTTGATCTCAAGCATCTGGAGCAAGGCCCCCCAGTCCACAGGGTGGGGGTTATGGAGAGTCTAGGGGTGTGAGTGTAACAGTTTTTAAAAGGGAACTGAACGGAACACGCAAAACCAGGCAATCCTACTTCTCAATGACACGGTGCTTTCCTCAGGAGGACACCTTGGAACCGGCTGAAGAGTGTACCCACCCACCTCATGACAGACTGCCTCATAGAAAGACAAATCACCCCTTAAAGAAAATAACTCTTGTGATTTTCACTATAGGATAAAAACCTGTTTATCCATAGTGTAAATATATATATATATATACACACACACACACACACATATATATATATATATATATATGGAAAAAAAGGTGCAGAAGGGACAAAAAGCTCCCATAATCCCACTACCCAAAGATTACTGCTTTTAATAATTTACCATGTCCTTCCAGAGATTTCCCCTTGCTACAAATTACATTTTTAGAGAAGGAAAAATAAATAGCTAATGAATCCATTAGCAGGTACTTGTGAAACAGGCAGGCTCAGAGGACTTTGGCTGTGAATGTCTGAGGCAGCGACTAATTCCCATTTGGTCAGGGGAAGATTAGTTTATTCTGCTTAGCTCAAACCAGAACTAATGGCCTGAAGTGTTTCTCCATATTTGGGCAAAGCCACCTGGTTGTTGGCAAGGGAACCGCTTTCCATGCGTGGGCTGCAATTGCAGACAAAGCTTTCAGCCTCCCCACCCCCCTACCCTGCTCATCTGTTGCTATTTGTCATTCATCAAGTAGAGCAGGTGCAGAAACTCCCGGCAGACACAACAAACAAGGCCATGGTTAGGGCCTCCCTAGCCCCCCCAGATTGTAGGGCTGCTTTTTACCCCTCACTCCTTGCAGGAACAACCCTTTCTAAACAGGGTCCCCACCTCAGGTGAAGACCTAGACACCAAGAGGTGTGCGCTCCCAAGGGACAGACTGCCAGAGCTCTGCCTGTGGCCAGAAATAGTGTGTGTCTGGGCTGGCAACTCAGGCACAAGATCTTGTTTATGGTTTTATTATTGCATTAATTTAATTGCTACACAGTGAGTAATCTGTAGACCATCCTCCCGCCTACGCGCCCTCACCTGCACTCTTAGGGAGGGCTGGTTTGCTGCAATCCTGAGCATCATCTCAGGTCCATGGACCAACCCCCAGCTTTCAGCCAGCTGCTGTACTGAGGGTTAATGTGGGGACTCTGGCATCCTCAGGGGACTGCAGAAGTTGGGGTGATCCCTGGTCCCTGCATTGGGCTTGTGTAAAGTCATTTCAGGGAGAAGGAGCTAGAAGAAAACCTTGGAGGTCACTTTCATTAAATGTCCCTAAATCTTGACCAGCCCAGCTCCCTCCGACATGACCTTTGAGGGGAGGGAAGCAGGAGATTTGCAGAAGAGGAAAATAAAGAAATGGGAACTAAGTATCTAGGGTGGAATGGGAACAAACTAAATTGTGGACTGAACAAAGGCCAGTTCCTCTTTGCCCTCATTCCCAATTTAGGTGCCTAAGAAGAATTTTCAAAGACCTCTTAGCATCTGTGGTTTCCAGACCAACCTCAGGCCACTCTGGGGATCTGTTATCTCTGTTTCTGGTCCCGTGACCCTGTCGATTCTGGGGCCACAGTTGTGGTCAAAAGACTGTGAACCCAACCCTTCCCATGACCACAGAGGGTCCGCAGAGCAGGGTCAGCTTAAGGGGCTCGGTTGCTCAGCAAAAGCGGGGTTGTGTGGATGGAGTCACAGTCAGAACAATCCCAGAGGGCTAGTTACTGTCTCCGGGTGTGGCTACCTCCTGATGAATGAGTTGGGCCGATGCAGGGGTTATTACAGGGCAACCCAATGTGAACTGGGCTGTCTGTGGGTCCTTACCTGTGGCTTAAAATTCAGTTGTACTGCAGGCACACACAAAAAGGGTCAATAATGGGTTTACTTACAAAAGGGAAAGGAAAAGATACAACACAGGGAAGAGAGAGAGAGAGAGAGATACAAATTAACTAGAGCATCCTACCAGCTCCACTGACTCCAGTAACACACTGAAAGCTCATCAAGAGCCAAAACACCAGCACCAGCCACACGGTCCAGAGAGAGTGGCTGACATGGCTCCCTTATATACCCCCAGAAGCCCCAGAATGCCTGCTTAGCTCCACCCTTGGGTCCTCACAGTTCTCTCCCTGGTACTGCTGGGAGTTGTAGTTTCAATTACTGGAGTAGGGGGTGGAGTCCAGAAAACTGCAGAGTTCCTTCAGGACATCCTTTCTTCCTAACAGGTTCACAAGAGCCTCTTCCAGTATCAGTGCTCCACACGGTACACATTTATTTTTCATGCACATGAAGTCCTTTGTGGGTAGGTGACTGCTTGACAGCTGTCCTCCAACAGTGACAGAAGGACCCAGGACACCATCTCCAAGCAGAGTTTCCTTTCCAGTCACACAGCATGGGGACAAAACAGTGTGAAGACACGATGGGGGATAAAACTCTCTAGAAGAGACTCATGGTTCCCTTTCCCATTCTTGTAACAAGACATCAGAGGAGGCTGATACTTGTAGAGGAAGCCTGGATATCCTGTGAACATGAAGGGTCTTTCCGCAAACTGGGTGTTTTTTTTTTTTTAAATAAGTTTATTTTTACATAATTTTGTACATTTTTTTCCCCACCTCAATTGTAATCCCCGCGGGCAAACTGGGTGTTTTAACCCTTTGGATGGTTTTATGTCACTTCCAGGAAATGGCTCTACCAACAACCCCTGCTCCGAGACTTACCACGGACCCTCCCCTCAGTCGGAGCCAGAGGTGGCCGCCATTGTGAAGTTCATCACGACCCACGGGAACTTCAAGGCTCTCATCTCCATCCACAGCTACTCCCAGATGATCATGTACCCTTACGGCCACTCCCTAGAGCCTGTTTCCAACCAGGAGGAGTTGGTGAGATTGGTTGCTCAGGGCTGGAGATGGGGGTTCTAAGAGATGCCCAGAGGGCTCAGGTAATCCCTCTGCAGTGGGGAGTCTGGTCAGTAGCCTCCTGTGGGGAACGGGGCAGCTTGCTGTGCTCATGGGTGACCAGGTTCCAGCCCGAAGTGCTGTGTCACCTTCTCATGAGAACCTTCCGCCCTTCCTAATCCCGGCAACTGAAGAGGGTACCAGGTCCTGGGGACCCCCCACTCCTCACCCTCTGGATGTCACCTTGCAGTTCAATCTTGCCAAGGAAGCAGCGCAGGCACTTCACGAGGTCCACGGAATCGAGTATGTTTATGGCAGCATCAGCACCACCCTCTGTGAGTGAGCCTCCTGATGACCGCTGCTGCCGGGGCCAGGTGGTGGGGCTCCTGGTTGGTGACAGGGCACTGCGATAGCTCTGGCTGATTTCTGCCTCTGAATAGAAGAGTGTGAGTGGGGTTCCCCAGAAACGGGCAGCTGTTGCTTTGCAGCATTAGTTAACACAGAGCTGAGCCTTGGCTTCTTGTACAGTCCCTTGAGGAGAGAGAGCCTAAGTCTGCTGGCCTCAGGGAGATTTCTTTTGAGGGGACAGAGATTAGGCTGGGTAAGCAGTGGATGGCCCAAGTTGGGGTCCATGGCAGAAGTTTGCTATAGTCTTCGTGGGGGGATTTGGCCCCAAGGACTTTTTCAGGAAGCATCTGTGCCTTGTGCACAGACCCTGTTGGAGCACTTCTTTGTTCTTTTGCTTCCAGATGTGGCCAGCGGGATCACTGTGGACTGGGCCTATGACCACGGTATCAAGTACTCCTTCAGCTTTGAGCTCCGGGACACTGGGCACTACGGCTTCCTGCTGCCCGCCTCCCAGATCGTCCCCACTGCCCAGGAGACGTGGCTGGCACTTCTGACCATCATGGAGTACACCCTGAAACATCCCTACTAGCCCACTACTGAGGGAGGAACAAGAGGCGTTGTCCTCCCCTTAGGCCTGGAACTCCTCCTGAACCTCATTTAGGCAGCCTGCCCCACACATATCCCAGCCCTGGTCCCTTAAATAAAAAAATCTTTGAACAGGCTTGGTGGCCTGTGGGCCTAACAGCCCTCTGGGCTCAACAATGAGGAGGGGTCAGCACAGCTCGAAATTCCTGGGAAGCCTCATGGCCCTTGGCTACTCAGGAGGATGAGAGATGTCTAGCCCACCCCTGTGGCAGTGTTCTCAGGGCCCAGAACAGCTACTGATAGCCACATGGTCTCCGTGGTATTTACAACTTAAGATGACCCCAAAGGGGACAGTTTGAGCTAAAGGAGCAGATCTCAGTGCAGGGGAAGCAGGTCTCGATGAGCGTTCCTGCTTCATTTCTCAGGCTGGGTCCACGTCAGAGCCCCCACTTACCCCAGAACCCAAATGGGCTGCTCATCGGCTCCTCCTTGTCCTGGGAGTCACAGCCAGAGTCCCGCAGCCAGGAATGCATGAACATGGAAACCCTCTTCTCTCCCCGGGGTCATCTTAGCCGGCCAGTGGACTGTTACCCAGGCCAGGCTCTAAGTGACTGAGGTTATCTAAGGGAAAGTAGGGGAAATATGAAGATACCAAATATGGGCCTCCTCCTCTCCCCCAACCCTCAAGTTTCCCATATGTTGGCCTTCCCCTTGTAGGGCACAAGCACAGGGTTTGTTAAGAATCACAGGAAGGGAAGAAAACAGGGTGAAGGTGACTACAAAGTGGGGAAGGCTGGCAACCCTTCCCCCAAGCGATTCTGGGGGTCAGGGGTCTGCCTCAGTCCTCGCCTAAAGCGGTTGGGTTGCAGACCACAGGGATCAGCAACCCTTGCTTGTGGGCAAGGCCAAGTCTCAGATCCAGATTTACTGAACCAGAATCTCTGGGGATGGACCCAGGTGATTCTAATGGCAAATCGGAGAAACATGGTCTAGTGACAGGTGGGCTGGACTCTGCTGGGTTTCCCCAGTAACAGTGAAACTAACCAGCTCTTTTCTAGCACATACTGTGTGCCAGGCATGGTTCCAAATGCCTTATAGAATTCACCTCTTGTTTCCTCACAGCTCTAAGAGGCAGGTCTGCTACAGTTTCTCTGAGGGGCGGGAGAATATGAAGTTGCTTTTAGTCAGCTTATTATCAGATGAAGTTCAAGTTCAGAAAAAATGGCTGCTGAAGTTCTCCCAGTTAGGACAGGCAGACCTGGATTGGCATCAGGAGAACCTGAGTTTTGCTCCAAGGCCCTCAGGACCGAGACCAGGAACTGGTTCTCAGAGTCAGGCTGACAGTGCTTTTTAGGTGAGGTTCTTCTTTTAAAGATTTATTTATGTATGCAGACAGAATTGGGGTACAGGCCAGAGGTGCAGGGGTAGCAAAAGGATTCACCAGAGACAGAGGGGGAGCAAAACAGGCAGATCAAAAAAGTACACTGCTGAGGGGAGCAGGAGACTTGGTCTGTCGCGCCATGTGGGTCGCCTCCGGGGTGTGGACTGAACTCACACTGAAGTGGCAGCTGCTGGCTTACAGTGCTCTACCTTAACTGTTTGTGCCACCAAGGAGGGCCCAAAGGCACCCTTCTTAAAAATGCTTTCGTGGTCCCTCCGTGGTGGCACAACGGGTAAGGACGCAGCACTACAAGCTAGCCGTGTTGCTTCAGTGCGAGTTCGAACCCTGGCTCTAGAGGTGGCCCACATGGCATGGGTCCTGACCTGCCTGCTGCTCCCCTCAGCAGTGTACTTCGTGGCTCTGCCTGTCCTGCTCCCCACTCTGTCTCACTGTCCCTACACCTCTGGTCTGCACCCCATTTCTTTCTGTATGCATAAATAAACAAAAATCTAAAAAAAAGAAAGAATGCTTTCATGACTGAAAACAACCCATCCAAGTCACACTGCCTCCTGGTTTCAGTCCTTCACACCTTCAACCTCAGTCTCACCAGCTTCCTCTCAGTCTCATCAGCACCAAAGTTCCTGCCCAACAACAGATCTTTGCCTGTGTTGCTCCTGCTCGTCTGGAACATTCTTCCCTCTTAACATTCTTCAATCAGCCTGTTCTTTTCATTTACCCCTTCAATATTATTTCTTCACTAGTTCTAGAACCATCCACTGAAACTTTACCTTCTGTCAGTCTCTACTGTTTATTTGTTGCTGTTATCTCTGCTGCCAGTCTGAGAGCTCTCTGAGGGTCGGGACCATGTCTGGGTTATTCACCTCAGCCAATTCCTGTCAGCACTCATGAAGTGGTCAATTTATTGAGGAAGTGTTTGCCTCCCCGGTCTACTACAGATTAGGGTTACGTTTATCACTAGATGACAGAAACCTGGGGCTTAACCAGATTGGCATCTTATTTCTGTTGTGTAACAGAAGCCAGCAATAGTCGAGTGACTACAAAATGCACTGGTGACCCAGACCCCTCAGATTGACCCTGGTGTTCCATTTTGAACCTGGTCTATTTCTATCATATGACTGAATTCCAGGCAATAGGGGTAAGGAACAAAAAGTGTGAGTTGATGGATCCATGGACTTAACCTTATATCTCATTGACTGGACTGTGTCACATGACCATGCCCAGCTGCAAAGGAACTACCCCAAAAGAGTTGGGGCTCTAGTCATAAGGAGAAAGGGAGGATGGACATTGAGTACTCATCCAGCAGTCTGCTGCAGCTTCTCTGAGGAGGATCTGAAGGGGCCTCTGAATCCTTCCTTTGCTCTGTTTTATCCAGTGACTGACTTAATCATAAAGTCATAGAACCTTCCAGAAGAAAGTTTTCTTTATATTAGTCCAGCCCCCCCTCCCCCACCACCATCACCACTCTGTAGTTATAAACAGTCATGGACCCTGAATCACCTGATTTTCACAAGGTCCCAAAGGAATGGTTGAGTCTACAGTCAGGGGTTTTCCCCAGGATTGAGGGGTCTCCTCAGCAAACCCAGAGAAGTTTGCTTATCTAAAAAAAAATAAAAAAGCTCAAGACTTAGACATGCACATTTTAGAGATAATACAGAAGAAATACAGAATCTCTTTTTCATAAAACCTGAAGCTTCCCCCCCCCCCCGCCCCATTTTCTTAGGTATATATAATGCTTAACAGGAGTTCAGTTTTTCTACATTCTGCTTGACTTTTTTTCCCCTCTGCAACAAACTGCTCTTTTTAGGTATGTTTTTTCATCCTTTTCACCAGTAAAATTTATGAGCATTTATTTAAAAGAAAAAAACATTGGAAAAACTGAAGAGAGAAAGAGTGATTATACATATGGAAAGCTATAAAGAACCACAGTGAATGTGCTGCGGTTATTGCTTTCTTAAAAAAACAAACCAGGCAGGCAGTTTGGAACGTGAAAGAGTCTTGTGTGAAGGCAGGGCGGCTGCAGGGGCAAGCTATGGGGACCTGGGGAGGCCGCCGAGGTGGCTTCGTGTCTTCCGTCCACTTCCATTTCCCTCTCACGGCTCCAGGTAGGGCCAGAGAGAAAATGGCGTCACCGATATGAGTGAAATTAAACTTAAACAGCTCCTTTAGAAAAATAAGACAGTCCAGGCAGCCACTTGATACAGGCTGAGCGGGAAACCAGAGTACCTCAGGCCTGTCCGGGCTACGCCGTCTGGTGAAGCCACGCCCCATCTCAAGCTCCTCACGCTTGAGGGGCAAGTGGATTTCAAATCTGATTGTTTTCCTTAACGCCACTTTCTGACTGGCTCTGTCTGGAGACGTCAGAGGGAAGATGGAGGACGATAATGTTCTTTCCTCTGGGGCAAGGAGTGGTGGGGCGTCTTGAAGACTCACTCCAGCCTGTGTCGTCTTTGGAGGTTCTCCTGAGTAGGGGGGGCAGTCCTAGGGAATGATGACGCGTTTGAGGATCCGTTCCTCGGCTTGTCCCTTGCTAGTTCTCACATGGGTCTGCCTCTTGCTCTCTCCTGACCTGCTTCACCTGGCTCTCTGGCTCCTCATCCGCCCTTCTGCCCCTCAGCCTACTTCCCCTAAGGTATAGCTGAGACCACCTGGGAAGTTTTCACAAAACCTGACTTAGAAATACAGAAGGGAAAAACAGTAGGAAGCAAATGTTTCAGCTGGACCCTGGAGATGGCCAGCCTTGGAGTACCGGGTATTTCCAGCCTTGGAGGTGACAGTTTATGACCTTTCACGAGGGAACGCTGACGGCCCTGGCTCTCGGTGACACCCTGTCTGCTCCCACAAAGTGGGGCAGCCCAGCCTCCCCCAAGGGTGGAAGAGGTCCCCCACGCACTCCCACTTCCTTTGTCAGGCTCAGTTGGAAGCCAACTCTGCGTCCTGCTTTCTCCTTTCCCATGGTGGTCAATTCGTTCCTCGTCCTCTGAGTCCTGGGCTCGGACTTGACACTTCCTAAAGCCCCACTAGAGTGCATCTTCCTCAGGTGACAACTGCCTTCCAGGAAAAATTCTGCCTCTGTTCTGGAAACAAACACCATTCAGCACTTGAAAGTGACAGTTCTGCAGCTTCAAAGCAAAACAAATAGGTTCTACCAGGCACTCAGTTATGAAAGTAAAACTCAAGAAGGTCACTAATAGGACCTCCTCCTCCCAGCCGGCCTTCCATGACGCCCCTAAGCTGGAGACAGCCCGCTGCAGCCTCAGCAGGATGTGGTGCTCCCCACTTACACCACCAGCCCAGTCCCTGCCATTCGCTTCTGATCTCCCCACAGACCTGGCAAGTCTCTCTCTCTAACCTGCCCAGGCCTGTCACCACCGCTGTGATTTGTTTGTGGGTAAAAAATACAAGTGTCCGAGAATTGTAAGGTGTCCCAGCAGGAAAGGACCACCGAGAGAGCACTCAGCCTACAACTTTATTTCATGGGAAGCTGAGAACATCGATGTCCAGGGAAGGGTAGTGACCGGCTCCTCATCAAGGACTGGGCTCCCCCATTATTTTCAGAGGGGTGCATCGTCTCATTCTACCACTTCTGACGTTAGAGACGTGTGTGCATTAGCTGTGTGCACTTTTTTCAGACACGTGACAGAAAACCAACTTGAAAGCACTTGAAGGGAAAAATGGACTTGATTGGCTCATCCCGAGAGCTGGGGTGGCCGGGGTGGGGGGCTCCCCCACCCCGCCCGATCACACGGACTCGTGCCCGGTGGTCTCTAGAAAAACGGAGGTGCTGTTATCAGAAGGAGGATACTGGGCAGGGAAAACAAGGGCTGTCCACTATTGTTTCCTGCTTGACCGCCCCCAGTTCTCCTGAGCTTCTCGGGCATACAAGTGAACCACAACAACCTAAAACACACTTGCCAAAGGGAGACCACTGCCTGCACCCTCTGTGCTCTCTGTGAGGAAACCTCTTGTCCATGGCCCCCCTTTGATCCCTAACCTGGACAGTGGAGAATGGTTTTCTTGTCTCTTTAGCAACCCATTTGCTAGGTTTGGCTTGGGGATCTCCGAGCATTGCCGTAGAGTCTTCTTCCCTCCTTGGGTACTCTCTGGCCACTGGACTGCCTCTGATAGTTGTCCAGCTGGTGCCCTGCACAAAAGCATTCTGCTGAGAAGATGAGGGGCTCTGTCTGTCCAGAGGTGAAGGGTGCCTTTTTCCATTTTGCAGAGAGACTCCCTAGGCTAAACCTGCATTGTCTTCTAATGATAGAGCACATTGAAAGCTCAGTAAGCGGATCAATTAGAATGCTCTTCACAGCAACAACAGCAACCCCAATTAATACAAGGAAATAAGTATTCTTTCATGTTATGTCATCCAAAGGTGGGGTGACAGGCTTGGCAATATCCAGAGGACCACACCTCCTCCTCACGAGTAGGGAAATGTTTTGCTCAGCTCCTGTGACAGCTCATTAACAGAGCTGGGCCACAAGCTCCTCTCTAAGAGAATCAAATTCCTTGATTGCCCCAGACTCATATTAGAATTTAATCCAGAGCTGGGAATAGGGTGGCTTCCTGAGGGGGGCTCTCTGGACTTGGTCTGGGTTTGTTTGTCCAGGAAGGAAGAAGGGCCCGTGAACTTCCCCCAGATTCGGGCTGTATCCAGCACTGGCCTGGTGACCTGCCCTTGAACCAAATGCCAGCCTGGTTTCTTTCTCATGCTAATAGGTCTTGGTGCCCTGCCTAGCCCCCAGCTTTCAGCCTAAGGGCCTTCATCTTCGCCCTTTGCTTTGGACTGGTGTGAAACCAGGAGGGGAGGGTGGGGCTGTGGCCCCAGGCCCTGCTTCCATTCTAGCAAATTGCTCTTTACCAACAGGCAATTTTCAGCTTCCTGAGGTGCTTTGGAGGGGCCCAGAGAATTAGGCTTAGCCTCCACTGGAGACCCAAATTCCTCTGCCACTGTGCTTTTAGCACCCTGCCAGCGCTGGCCCTAATTTCAGCCTGCAGCAGCATTGAATTAATCTTTTCCAACCTTGCAAGAAAATAGATGAAATGACTCTTGGACATCTTAGATTGCTGGCTGGAGGCAGTAAGAGGCTCTCCGGCCAGGTGGTACCCTCCCTCACACACCCCCTTCCTGACGGGCTTGTCTTTCCTGGAAAGAATTCGCAGAAGGCCGGAAAACCGCGTCCCCACTGCGCATGTGTGCAGCGTGCGTGAAACTTACTCAGAATTATAGGGCAGGTTCAGAGGTAGAAATAGAAAAAGAAATATTGTTTTCCTAATGCAAACTAAAAACAAAAACTGGTTCTCCAAAGCCTTCTTCCCTGGTGGGAAGAGAGGAGAAAGCTTGAGAACACTGTAGGGCGCTAAAGGATGAAGGAGTTGAGGATGGGTGAGACAGGGTCCTGGTCTAAGGAACTTCACAGTCTTGTTGGGGAGATAGAAATAATAGCCCGGAGCAACTGAGGAGAAAGGAATGCGAATAGTGTTCAAGGTGCTCGAATAGTGTTCAAGGTGCTCGAGAGCAGTGCAGTAAACACACATATTTCCTTCTCTGTCTGACAAAATAAGTCCAGGGTCACCTTCTTGGGAAATTCTCCCTCCACCCTCTTGTCTGTGCCCCAGTGCTTAGTCCAGATCCCCACAAAGCCTTTTCCTGCACATGTCGCAAGAAATATGCCCCTCTGGTTCCTGCATGTTAATCCCGGCCACAGTGCCAGCTTCTTGGAAAGACCTGCTGGACAATCAACACGTAAGCTGGTTCCTTCTGTCCTTCCCAACAGCCTGAGCTCCCTGACCTGAAGGACAAATCCGGGTGGGGCCTGGGGGGGGTACAGTTGACTTCTGCTCCCACTGCTATGGGGTACCAGGCCACAGCCCCCTAAGGCTGTTCCCTGCTGAGGAAGAACACTGAGGTGCCCTCAGGGTGCCAGTCTCCCCTGGCCTTACAACATTGACTCAAAGATTCCACTCAGAGTGGTGCTGCTGTCTGAACTCTTCCTGCCCCCATCCTCTCCCTTCTCTGCCGCTCAGGGGTGGTTCCCCCTAAAAGCCTTACACACTGAATCCTGTCTTGAGACAGCTTCTTGGAGAACCTGAGAAAACACAGTTGGTTATTCCTGTCTTCCCTCTGGATGGATAGTCCGCAAGACCAGTGTGTCTTTGTAACAGGGTGGTCCTCAGGAAAAGGGGAAGTTCCAGGTTCCCTGCCCCCACGCAGAAGGGGGGTGGAGCTAAGCAGAGAAAAGGAGAAGAGAAGGAATCTGAAGAAGGAAGCAGAATGGAGAGCCAGAAGGAGACCTGAGGAAGCCACATGGAGCCGGGAGCATGTGAGGAAGAAGCCATGCTTGTTTCCTGACCCTGGACTGGTGAAGGCAGATGTGGGTGAGAGACCCGTGGGGAGGTGACTATGGCAGTGTTTATATTCATTTTGATTTTGCTCTTTTCCTCCCAGACTTGTCTGGCCATTTCTGACACTTCTCTATGGGTCCCGGCCAGAAGGTGCTTTAGTCTTGTGGCAGCTTTCAGGCCTAGCTCTGGGCCGATCCCTTTTGGGTTGACTTTTGCCCACAAGGGGATGGGTCACTTCAGGTGTTTGATTTAGAAATGATATTTTTTGTCTTTCATATTGTATACTCACTGTATTAAAGTTCCTTTTCATTAAAGTCTTACATGTTTTGTCTTGATGCGGCAGATGGCAGAACCTGTTTAGAGCAGGCAGGTTTGGGGGTGCAGTGGTGGTCCCTCTCTCCTTCCCTGTAACATCTTGGGGTGTCATTCTGTAACCAGTGGCTGAAGCCAAAGACTATTACAGGTAGAGCCCCTGGAGGGGTTGCTGGTGAGGATGGATGCGAACAAAGTATCTGTGGTTGTGGAGACACTGATCCGAAATACAAGAGACTGAAGAAGCAGACCCCGGGATTCAGCTTTCGGGATTTCAGTGTTTCTGGATCTTCAGCGACTCCGGGATCAGCCATTCTAGCCCCCACCATGCCGATCTTCCAGAGGCTGCTGCAGACCTCTAAGGACTTGAGAGGCTTCTAGCAGCCAAACTCAAGAGAAGAAAAGTTTGGAGGCTTTGCCAGTAGCTGAGCCACTGAACTGTTCTCGTCTTTGCTGCTGTCACAGCCTGGCAGGGAAGGCAAAGACCTGGAGCCCGGTCCCTCCCTGATCCTGGTCAATGTGGCTGTCCTCATGAGTTGGATGCTGGCCTCTAGTCTGGTTGCTAGACTGGACACATGCTCCAGTCTAGTGGCAGGAAGACGCCATCTTGGGAATGTTTGTGTTTACGACTTTAAAATACTGGACACTGCTTTGGCAGTAAAGGGCCATTTTTGGCCTCAATAAAATCTTTGTTTTTCCTTGGTGTGTAAAATAAACCCGTTACTGTTGTTCTCTGAGCCTGAGTAGTCTTGCAATTGTGTACGCCAGTGAAGAATGGTGGTAAACTTTCAGATGGTGACTGGTAAACTTTTGGGCACCATCCTAGACCAGTTTCAGCGCCCATTGCTGCCCTGTGTCAATCCTTAGGAACACGGTCCCCGCCCCAGTACATTGAAGGTGGTTGAGTGAACGAACAAAGGGATGAGCTTTTGGAGTGAGAAAGCAAGCGCCCAAGGAAGATTCAGGAAGGAAGGGAGTCTTGCGTGGGTCTGGCAGGGCTGATACCCCACTGGAGTGGAGAGGAAAGGCCTTGCAGGGAGTCGCCACACCTGTAGAGCAAGGGCTTAGGATGTCATTGTCTTCCTAGACCCAGTAGGGTGTGGTCCTGCTTCCCACGCTACATCTGTAATGTTTCTCACCCAGGGCCACCCCAATTCCTGGGTTGAGAGAGTGGCTTAGAGGGAAATGCTGGTGGAAGCTGCCATTTGTTCCTGCTGTTGCTGCTGCTGTGGCCTGACTCCCACAAGGTCATGGGGGCTGGTAGGAGTGGAAAGTATTCTCCTAGGGGCTGCGCCCTAAGTCGGGGATAAGCCAACATCAGGCAGGGGTGGCCGTGGATGAAAAAAGAGCTAGATGGCAGTAGACATCCTAACTTATCCTGTCAGGGAACAAAATAAGCTGGTATCAGGGATGTGGGAGAGGGGTCACCTTGCACAAGACCCCAGCTGGTATGGCTGACTGCAGTCCTGGCTCCTGCCCACTGCCTGGCCACGAACAGGACCACAATTCACAGACTGTGGGCCTTGGGTTGTGGGCTGCAGCCAAGAAGGCTCCACTGGGAGGCCTCCAGCTCCCCTGACACTTCGGCCCTGGGCTGGCCCCTCATGGCCAAGGGGTGGAGGCCCCGTTATCTCCCCAGCTGCCCTGTTCCCTAGTTCCTTATCAGGGAGGGCGAAGAGGTGCCAGAGTTCAGAGCTCCCACCTTTCCCCTCCCGTGGGATTGGGCCCAGGTGCAAGGAGAGAACCACCGTGGGCGCCGCCAGGAGACCTCGGTCCTGGGAGAGTTTAAAAGGCCGCAGGACTTTCATTCAGCCCCAGCTGACCTTCCCAACAGGCTGCAGCATGAGGGTGCTGCTGATTTTGAGTGTGCTGCTGGGGGCCACCCTTGGCTTAGAGAACTTTGTGGGGTAAGGGTGTTCAGAGGGAGACAGCCAGGATTTGGCCCCTGTCAGTGTCTGGAAGAGGCAGACAGACAGACAAAGCCATGGGAGGCCAGAGAGAAGCAGCCCAGTAGGGCCATGGGAGGCCAGCTGACTGGGACAAGGGCTGAGACGGGTCCGGGTCTTTCAGGACAGACAGCCTCCTGAGCCTTGGAAATCTAAGCCCTGAGGAGTTAATTTTCAGGACAGAAGTTGGGGGTGGGGTGGAGTTTGCTGGTTTTAGATTGAGAAAGTCTAAATTTGTACGGTAATAGTAGCAATGTCTAGAAGTTTCCAAAGTACCCCCATTGCTAAGACCCACTCTTAGCCCGGAGGATGGAGGACTCGCTTGGGGTTCCAGGCTGCCTGCCCTCCTCCCACTTGGGGAGAGTATGTGGTCAGGGCAGGAGTTTCTCAGGACCTCAGTCTCCCCCACTGCTCTCCCCAGGCACCAGGTGCTTCGAATCTCTGCAGCCGATGAAGCCCAGGTGCAGAAGGTGAAGGAGCTGGAGGACCTCGAGCATCTGCAGGTCAGAAGAATGGGGAGCCTCCGTGAGACTGCAGGATGCTTCCCAGGCCGGCTGGGCCCATCTCAGGCCCCTACCACCTCTTGGGGCCAACAGGGGTCTGGGCTCTCTCTTCCCATAAAAGGAATGAGGGGACTAACCAGGGAAGTGACTTAAGGGCAGCAAGTATCGGAGCCAAGTGGGGACCCAGCACTTGTCTCTCCCTTGCTGTGGCAAAACCCCTTCTCTCTGCATTCTGGGTCAGTTCGCTGAACACATAGGGTTCTGTCTGGTGCCTTCTACCTTCTGACACTTGCACCCCAGCCCCAATTACCCAGGGGATTCTGACTCCAATGCGCCCTCCCAGGCTGGTCTTTGTCCAGCTGCTGTCCTGGCTGGGGCCTGCAGCTCACAGCCACGGTGCCTGCTCTTGTCGTCCCCAGCTGGACTTCTGGCGGGGTCCTACCCGGCCTGGCTCCTCCATCGATGTTAGAGTGCCCTTCCCCAGCATCCAGGCTGTCAAGATCTTCCTGGAGGCACATGACATCCCCTACAGCATCATGATCGAGGATGTGCAGTCACTGCTGGATGAGGAACAGGAACAGATGTTCGCCTTCCAGGCCCGGGCCCGCTCCACTGACAGCTTTAGTTACGCCACCTACCACACCCTGGACGAGGTGAGGGCACCCATGGGGCTGCTGCACACGAGCACCGAGCTCTCTGTCCGGCCTCCAGGAGGCAGCCAGGCAGGGCCCGGCACCTGCCCTGTCCCCAAGCGGAAAGGGTGGCGGCTCCTCCGTGTTGCTGGGCTGACCGCAGACTGGCTAACAGAGGGGGTGGGCCAGGTGTCCAGGCATCCAGACGCCACTGAGGATGCTCCCCCTGCCCTTCTCAGATCTACAGCTTCATGGACATGCTGGTGGCTGAGAACCCACAGCTTGTCAGCAAGATGGAGATCGGGAGAACCTATGAAAATCGTCCTATCTACGTGCTAAAGGTACTGAGTCCCGGCAGGTCCAGCACCTGCATCTGGGTGTTCTCCAGGGTCACCGGGACCTGTGATACCCATGGTTATACCAACTCCCTGCCAACATTCAGAATTTCCACACTGGTCTAGGCGGGTGCTTACATGTACACACACTACTGAAAATTTTAAGTGACCCAGGTATTTCCAATCAAGTGTCAGTTGTGGAAAGTATCCGCAAGTCAGGGACGGGGTGGAGGGTAGAGTCCAGATCCGACATTTTGTTGGTGACCTCCCACGGAGAGCTGTGTGGGGACAACTGAGCAGAGTGGGGCCTGGAAGTCTATTTGCCCCAGTCTTGGGCTGAGGGCAGGAGGCCCAGCCCTGTGGGATCCTTCCTTGTCCAGTCCCCACCAACCACCTGAGGGTGGCCCCTGCAGACAGAGCTTCATCCCGAGATAGCCAGAGTGCAGGTGGCCTTTGGCTGGGGGCACCTTTGCCTTCTGGAAGGTGAGACAAGTTTCCTCTGGGCCATCACCTTGCCCTTGTTCAGTTCAGCACTGGCGCGAATAATCGTCCAGCCATCTGGATCGACACAGGCATCCATTCCCGGGAGTGGGTCACCCAGGCCAGCGGGATCTGGTTTGCAAAGAAGGTAAGCCCGGGCAGGCAGGGGGTGGTGCATGGGTGTCCAAGTCACACAGAAGCCTGGTGTCCCCATGTCCCATTCAGAAGCAGTCACTGCCCTGTGATCTCCTTCCTCGTCTTCCCCCCACCAGATCACACAGGACTATGGCCAGGACACAGTTATCACCAGCATTCTGAACAACATGGACATCTTTCTGGAGATCGTCACCAATCCTGATGGCTTCGCCTTTACCCACAGCAAGGTATGGGCTTTCTCTTACCCTTGGGAAAGTAGGGGGTGTCTGGCCTCCGAGCCCCACCAACTACTCACCCCTCATCTCAACAAAATAAATCAAGGGAGAGGAAAATAGAACGTCCTCCAAGGCCAGTTTCCCGACCTAGGCACTGTGGACCTCTGGGGCGGCTGGTTCTTCGTGACAGTGTATATGTAGGGGGCTTAGCAGCATCCTGGCATTCTGCTACTAGGTGTCACAAGTGTTCCTCAGTAGACACGTCCCAAAACACGTTCTGAAGATGCCAAATGTCCCTGGGGAGGGGGAGGGCTAAATTGTTCCCATTGGAGGTCGAGTGCCCCAGACCTTACTTTCTGGTTCAATTTTTTCTTTTCTTTTTTTTTTTTTTTATGATACATATGCTACTGATCACGTGTGTGCATCGGGGATGGGGGACAGCTCATGTCTTCACTTCCCAAGTAGAACCCCCAACCTATGGCCCCTATCCTTCCCGTCCGTTTCCTTCAATGAAGAGCCCCCTTTGCTGGTCATCTCCCTGACAGCCAGTCAGAAGCGGTTTCTGATGCTGGGCTGTGGCCAGCCCCAGGCTCTGGATCAGGTTGCTTAGCGCTGATGGTGGCTGTGGGCCACCCACACTGCTCAGACCCCTGCGTGGCTCCACAACCGAGGGGTGTCCACGCAGGACGGAGGGTGGCTGATGCCTTTTCCTTCCTCAGAATCGCCTGTGGCGCAAGACCCGATCTGTCACAGCTGGCTCCAGTTGCGTTGGTGTGGACCCCAACAGGAACTGGGACTCTGCCTTTGGGAGTAAGGCCCAGTGTGACGGGGAGCCGGGAGGGGAGATTACCCTTTGTGCTGTTGCCTTTCCTGTCTCAGCAGGGAGGGGAGGGCCAGGGGCCAGCCAGCTGCTCTCAGAGTGTGGGTACAGAAGGCAGTGCCCTGAGATTTGCTTGTCCCTGGTCTGTAAGAGCAAAGCTGTCCCAAACAGAAAGTTCTGCAAGTCACCAGGGTTTCTAATGTCATCAGTTCCTTCCTTCACGGCCTACTTCACTGCAAGAACAGGTTTCTCTTAAGGAACCTTCTTAGCTCCCTGGGTGTCTGTCCAGGAGCTCACCAGCTCTGCCCAAAACTGACTGGGGATCTAGGGCCCCCAGCTCTGTTCTTTCCTGACTCTGCGGGTCAGGATGAGGCCTCCTGCACCGCACCCAACCCCTCACTCCACGCAAAGATTGAGACTCCTGCAAGCCAGTCCGCCTGGATGTAGGGAGTACCAAGTACCCCTCTCTCCCCACACAGTGCCTGGGGCCAGCAACAACCCCTGCACAGAGACCTACCATGGCAAGAACGCCAATTCCGAAAAGGAGGTCAAGTCCATCGTTGACTTTGTGAAGAGCCACGGGAACATCAAGGGCTTCATCTCCATCCACAGTTACTCCCAGCTCCTCCTCTATCCTTATGGCTACACCAAGACCCCATGCCGCGACCAGCAAGAGCTGGTATGCACTGACCCCCTTCACACGCCCGAGAAAGCTTCTGGCAGGCTTCATCAGAATTGCTTAAGGCACCAGGCCTCACAGCGCTCAGCACCCCTTTTTCCCCATGGGCTTCAGCTAGCTTGGGGACTAGCCTTACTTCCTAGCTAGGAAATGGATGCACGGAGTGGTCAAGTCGCTCCTGTGGCACGGTAAAGTCAGGGGCAGGCCTCGAATTTGAGCTTGTCGGACAAGCTCGTGTGTGGGCCTGCGCTGTGGCAGGGCCGTGTCAGTCAGACACAGGGCAGCGGGCCCAGGGCTGCTGAGCCCCGGGAACTGAGGCTGAAGGGCCCAGCTGTCCCCGAGCTCCCTGCTGGGGTCTGGCTTCTGTAGGACGCCTCTCCAAGGACACGCCACCAGCTCCCAGGCTACCGCGGCCCCGCTGTCCCTGGGGCCTGGTGTTGCTGGCCATGACAGGCGTCCCTGTTTGGTGTTTTCTCCAGGACCAGCTGGCTGCGGCGGCTGTGAAGGCCCTGGCCTCTCTGTATGGGACCAAGTACACATATGGCAGTACCTACACCACCATTTGTAAGTGGGCGCCTGGGTGCTGCGGGTGGCCCCAGGAGGGACTGCGCTTGACTTTTCTTGCCTGAGGGGGTGCCTGGGTCTGAGAACATGGGCAGGACAATGGCTCTTGGCTCTGCTGACAATTGCTGAACGGGGCAGTGCCTTTTCCTGGTGCGAGCTCTGCTTTCTTTGACTCTTTTGGATAAACGCATCTGTTCCTCTGAGAACCCTTAGCCCTTCACACATGGGTGGGGTGGAGAGTCCTGCTGGCATTTGTAGATCACCCAGAAATTCAACTCAAAAGACTCCTTTCCAAGGCCCTTCAATTACCGTTTCCAGCTTGTTGGCAAAGGCACCAGCTCTGTTTTGCCTGAATAGGAGGTACCTTGTACAATCAACACGAAACGAAGGCAACAAATGTTTTCTAAACACCTGCTACACCCCAAGCCTTGTTTTGTGTGCTTGGAACACAGTTACAAATAAGCAGAGATCAGGACACTTACATTCCAGCCAGCGAGACTGGCCATAAACATAAGTTCATTTTGGGTGACAGATGCGAGAGAGAACAGGAAAAACTAGACACGGTAAGAGGCTGCAGGAATCCTCACTGGGAGAGGGAAATTTGGGGCAAGTGAAGTTAGGAAATGAGGGAAAGAGCCAAGGCTATCCATCTGGGGAAGAGTCTTCCAGGCAGAGGGACATTCTAGAGCAAAGGCCCCACTGTGGAATCTGGACTGGCATTTGGGGGGAAATAGCCAGGAACAGCAAGGAGAGCTGGAAAGCTGCAGCATGGGCCCAGAGGCTGTAGAAGACGGGTGGTGGCAGCAGGTGTGAAGGCTCCAAAGGAACCTCCGGGCAGGGGGCAGGAGAACTGAAGAGGCAGGGAGAGAGCACAGTGCTGGAAGACGGCAACTCTGTGCCGGAGCGCCCAGGTTTCGGTGGACAAGCGACACCTGCCCTTACGTGCAGCCGGCCTGGTTCTTGGACGCCAAGCCTACTTTGGAAACTGTTTCAACTCCCCCCCCCCCCGTCAAAGGGGTTTTGCTCCATTTAATGTCAAGTTCAATTCCACCCACCAGCTACCTGCCTCTGCCCTCACCCACTATGAAAGTGACTTCATACTCCACGGTTAAGTGCAAATCTGGACTGAGGTTCCTCCAAAAAGACAGCTTCGACTCTGGCCCTTTGCACTTTCCCCTGCAGACCGGCACGCTGGGGGTGGGGTGGAGTGAGGGGCAGATCCTAGTTATCCAAGTGGGGAACTGCTATGTTTGGAGACTTGACCCAAGCGCCTGTTGGACAGAGGCAATATTCAGAGGGACTTTTGCAATGTGGCAGGAATTTCTTGCATTCCCCAGTGAGAGAAGCAGCATCGCTGGGCTGCCTCTCTGGGTCTCTTGGGCTGAGACCCTGTGGCGGGAGCTTCTGGAGAGGAAGCCAGGCTGCTTGGTCAATACAGGCACCGTGTAGACACTGGCTCCCCAGCAACACTGCACAGGCTCTGGCCCTTGGACCACTAGCCCAGGCCTTGTAAGTGTTTCCCAAGCACTGACCTTTGCATTCCCATTTCTGCTCCTGCTGCAGACCAAGCCAGTGGAAACACCGTTGACTGGACCTATGACCAGGGCATCAAGTACTCCTATACTTTTGAGCTCCGGGACACCGGGCGCTATGGCTTCCTGCTGCCTGCCTCCCAGATCATCCCCACCGCCCAGGAGACCTGGCTGGCACTTCTGACCATCATGGAGCACGTCTTGAAAAACCCCTACTGAGCTGGCCCTTCGGCACGCTCCTCGTCCTCTGCCCTACCCAGGCAACCCAATAAAGTCTGCGTGTACATAGAACAGCATCTTGGGGCTTGCATGTGGGAACGCATGTGGTATGTCTGCCTTTTCAAGCTGGGGCCGAAGTGGGTTAGTTCCTGCAGGCCTCACTGGGAATGTGTGTGTGGTTGGATGAGATGACCCCTGCATTCCCCCTGCATTCCAAGTCCTGTGAAGTTGTATCCAAGTGGCGTCTGTTTTAATTAGACCACCCTGAGCTCAGTTCGTCAGAGGGGTGATTTGTTCATACCTTAGTAGCAAGCAGCAGCCACAGCTGCTGCCCAAATGCCCGGCACCCTGCAGTGCAAAGGAATTCAGCTTGTACAATAGTCTGGCTGGCTGGATCCATTCATCTACAGAAGCAATATCCTTGAGTATGAAACAGAACAGTCTTGGTGGCCACCGCTGTCCCAAATAGATGGTACAGCCGGGCAAAGCCAATTTCTTTAAAGCGAAATATGATCTCCCACTCCTGAATTGAATTGGAAGAAAACAATTGGGTTACATGGAATCATTTACTGAAGATAAAGAACTAATATGAATCCCAAGACATTTTATTAATTGTAGTAGATCATGAAGGCTTTGCCTTCGGGGACAGAAGTAGTTGACTTTTCATCTGCTACCTCCTTCCCGGCAGCCTCTGTTAGTCTCCCCTTGCTCTCCTGTTCCACCCACCGCTCCTTACTGTTCAAGAGCTTTCTCACAAATAAGGGCACCCTACTGATGCTCCCCATAGTGCCTGAGATTTGGTTTTGCTCCCTTGGCTTGGAGATGCTGATGGCGTGATTTTATTCTTGGTAGCTAGCACAGCACATAAAGAATCTTAAGGTTTTTTCAAAGCTAGAATCTACCTTTTGGTTTTTCCATGTATTTTAAGATATGACTGAAGCACAGGTTTGCCCCCACAGAATCACTGGGAGCTGGGGGAGGGAGGTTGTGGCTCCCCAAATAGGGCACTCTGGGTGAGAATGGCAGGTGTCCAGCACCCAGGTTTGCTGACTTAAGTCTATCTTTACCACATAAAATGGCCTGAAGTTCAAGTACTACTTTCTTAAGGTGACACTGGGGAATTTTCATCCTGGATCCCACTTTAATATTGTATTTGCTACCAACCATTCAAAAAATGAGACTGACTCCATGGAGGATACATGGATTTATCTGTACTTGTTTACGAGACAAGATAAAATGGTATTTCCGTCTTTAACAGAAAGGGGACCAAAGACTTTACAATAACTTCCTTCAAGTTTTCTTTCCCTTCAAGCTAATGAATGAGAAATGTAGATAAACTGAAATCCATGTTAACTGCTCAGTTTGGGTGAGTACAAAGCTTATCTTATTTTTTGTTTAATAAAGACTGATCAGCAAACAAGAAAAAAATGCAGCTAGCAAGATACGATGTCATTTTACACAAATGGATAACTTTAAGGGCAGAGATGCTTAGTTTAAAATAAACTGGTCACTGATAGCAGGAGCTCTCTGTCTGGCATTCAGTCTCTGAACCTACCAGCTGTCCTTGATCCATAGATCCCCAACAGGTATTTGTTCAATGAATGCTTTCTACTTTTACTAACGAATTCATAAACTTTATAATGTGTATTGAGGTTTGCAAGCTCATTCGAATTCCCAGAATTGCAATATGGAAGGAAAGGCTCTGAACAAGTAAGAGTCTCAAGAAAGTTGAAAAGACAAGGAATGAGGTATCAGAAAGAAAATTCCATGAGGGCAAGGATTGCGTTATGTTGTTTTAACACTCAGCCCCTACTGGTTGGCCAAGCAAAAACATCATGTGCACTTAATAAATACGTGTTAAATGGAGACACAGAAGTCACCAATATTTTTAAAAGTTTTTTTTTTTCAGCGAGGGGATAGCTTTACATTTGATTTTCAGAGTTTTTATATGTTTTATTTTTAAAAATTTGTGGGTGAGTTATTTAATAAGTAAAAACATAAGGCTAAAAGAGAATTTTAGAAAATACTGTAGTACATAAAAAAAAAGTATTAATAATCTTGAGGGGGGAAAGAGCTCTGATAAAGGGTTAAGAAAAAGGACTAACATTTCAAAAGAAAAATAGCAATTCCCAAAAGAAGAAACACAAAAAGCCAATAAAAGTATGAAAGATACTGATCCTCCGGGTGATTTTTTTTGCACATTAAAGAAAAACAGATAGATCATTTCTCCCCCCATCAGATTGACAAAGAATAAAAAGACTGAAAACTCAGTGTTATCAAGGGTATGAAGAAATAAGACCTGTCATACACTGCTGGTGGGAGTATAAATTCACACCACCTTCCTGGAGGGCAATTTGGCAATATAAATCACACTCTTCAATGTATTGCCTCTTTGACCCAAAAAAAAAAAAAATCCTTTTGGAAGAATTTTATAAAAATATTTGAGCAAGTTCAAATCTACGTAGGTACAAGATTGCAATAGTAAACAATGAAATAAAAAGTGCCTAAACAGAAACCAGCATGGATACCAATCTGATGTGTTTTCATGAGGGAATATTGTAAAGGTCTATTGACATGGAAAAATGGTCACAATATAGGGAACGAAAGAAGTTGGCCACACGATGGAAATGTTCTAAAATTGGATTGTGGTGATGGCAGCACAACTCTGAAAATTTACTAAAGATCATTGAATTGTGGATTGAAAATGGGTGAATTTTATGGTGGGTGATTTATACTGCCATAGTTTTTTTTTAAAGAAGCTGGCCACAAACCAGTATGTTGAATACAAATTCCATTTTCATTTGAGACACACATACACCTTATGCCTGGAAGGACGAGTCCCCAGTGATAACGTGGTTACTCCGGGAAGGGTGGTGTTTTTCTGAATTTCTTGCAATGGCCTTTTATAATTAGGGGGGAAAAGAAGCAACTGTTTCCAACACACAGGCAACCTGTTGTTGAAGTTCTGTAATGACAATTCTTTATCAACATCAAACATGTAGAGGCCATCTTGAGTCCTAATCTTGAAGCTCTCCAGAAAAGAACACTAGTAAAACATTTACGGAGCACTGTGTTAAGTTGTTTCTTGGACTCTTCTGTAATTGCTTACTCGCTTAATTCCCTGGGAGGTAGGCACCCCCATTTTTTTTTAAAGATTTATTTATTTGTGCATACAGAACTGGGGTACAGGCCAGAGGCTCAGGGGCGGTGAGAGGCTTCACCAGAGACAGAGTG